TAATATGAAAATATATATATATATATATATATATATATATATATATATATAATATCAACATTTATATGAACTTCAACAGGGTGACAGTGGAGGACCACTGATGTGTCCATCGAATGACGGCAGTTGGTACGTATCTGGAGTTACAAGCTGGGGAATAGGTTGCGCACAGGCTGAACGTCCCGGTGTATATGCAAACGTACCGTTATTGACGTCATGGGTTTTTTATACAATGCAATACTGGTATGAAAGCCAGGTCAACACTAGGCCTACAAGTAAGTTGCTGGTTGAATAATCTCCATGTTATCTGCCTACATTAACTTGGTAAAAAAAATTTAAAAGAGGTACAAAAACCATCTTATGTAATTTAGTTCCATATTGCTTTTGCCGTTTGTGACGGTATGTCTTTAGTTTATTCATTGGTTATAGTTGGACTGCCGGAATATTGCAAATCTCGTTCTGAGGTCTAGGCCTGATGACCATGCCCGTTGCTACCTTGCCATTTTCCTCCCAACCTTTTCCCATCCGTCATTTTACTTCCCGGTTTGCCACCCGACCTTTTGTCACTCGTCCTTGTTGCTACACGCCCTTATGGTGACTGTGTAAATCATGTAATTCAATAATCAGAAATTTGCACACTATGATGAAAATTAAAATGAGATACACGTTCCAATTGAATTTTTTTTATAATTTTTTCTTTCTGTATTTAAAACAGATTATTGCACTGAAATAACGGAACCAACTTGTTTAGATGTTTTGCCGTACAGCATGACGGTTGATAACGGAGAATATAGTGAGTACGAGGATACTAATATCACGCCTACTACTGACCAACTCGCTGCCCTGGCCTCATGTCACCCCAACGCCCACCTGTTCTTATGTAGTTACCTGTTCACAGGATGCCCCGTGCAGACGGCACCGGTCCCATGTCAACAGTTTTGCTACGAAGTTACATCAGCTTGTGCTGAAGAGTTGAAAGATATTTATGACGATTTTTATGCAAAATGTGACCTTTACCCTTCATCGATATCGGGGAGCGATACATTATTATGTGATCCACCAAAAGAATGAATCATAGATGGCTAAAATTCCAGTGATATTGTCCTCAATCCAAATGTTCTATACTCTATAATTTGTAGTCTGTATTTTTGAATAAGCTTTCTTGTTTAGGTGCTGGTTTGGTTATTAAATATTATATTTTTTTCTTTTGGAATTTTCCAGCTACATCTTTTGCACTCGTTAAAAATATATTAACTATTAACATTGCTAAATAATCTCTCCATGGATACTCTTTCAATATGCTTGTGTTTCGTAATTCTTAACAGATCGTATAGGAAAGTAACTATTAAATCAAATAATTTATTACATCCATTTCTGCCATCATAGTTATGGTGTATGCCACGGTAGACTTATAAGCTTCACGTAATGTTAATAATAAGAATTTATGGCGACAATTTAGAAAAAAAGAACCCAATATAGATAAAGAGTACTATTGTACTTGCTAATGACAGAGCAAAGGGGAAACGATTAAAAGACAGAGCAAAGGCGAAACGATTAATGACAGAGCAAAGGGGAAACGATTTGCTTTGTCGTAAACGACTACATCACGTTGATTTCCATTCAATACCGTAAATGTTAAGTGCCTCACGTTATACCCTGCCTTAGGTAACATTAGTTCTTTTTACTTGCCCAAGCAAATTAATTGTTTTATCTTTATCAATCTATACGTATCCAACTAATTCTATCGAGTGCAAAATGCACGAAAGTGCAAGAAAAAAAAGCGCAATTCTTTAAAATATATCTATAAATATAAGATGAATATTAACGATATCAATATTTAATATAATTTTAACATACTCAATTCAATAAATTACATATATTTGGATATCGGTTATATCTCAGTTGTTCATTTACTAATTTTAAATACTCTATAATTTGTAGTCTGTATTTTTGAATAAGCTTTCTTGTTTAGGTGCTGGTTTGGTTATTAAATATTATATTTTTTTCTTTTGGAATTTTCCAGCTACATCTTTTGCACTCGTTAAAAAATATATTAACTATTAACATTGCTAAATAATCTCTCCATGGATACTCTTTCAATATGCTTGTGTTTCGTAATTCTTAACAGATCGTATAGGAAAGTAACTATTAAATCAAATAATTTATTACATCCATTTCTGCCATCATAGTTATGGTGTATGCCACGGTAGACTTATAAGCTTCACGTAATGTTAATAATAAGAATTTATGGCGACAATTTAGAAAAAAAGAACCCAATATAGATAAAGAGTACTATTGTACTTGCTAATGACAGAGCAAAGGGGAAACGATTAAAAGACAGAGCAAAGGCGAAACGATTAATGACAGAGCAAAGGGGAAACGATTTGCTTTGTCGTAAACGACTACATCACGTTGATTTCCATTCAATACCGTAAATGTTAAGTGCCTCACGTTATACCCTGCCTTAGGTAACATTAGTTCTTTTTACTTGCCCAAGCAAATTAATTGTTTATCTTTATCAATCTATACGTATCCAACTAATTCTATCGAGTGCAAAATGCACGAAAGTGCAAGAAAAAAAAGCTCAATTCTTTAAAATACATCTATAAATATAAGATGAATATTAACGATATCAATATTTAATATAATTTTAACATACTCAATTCAATAAATTACATATATTTGCATATCGGTTATATCTCAGTTGTTCATTTACTAATTTTAAAGTATTTTATCAGAAAACAAAAACGTGACTTAACATGTTGATAAAAAAAACCTGATTACTGATTGTATAATAATAATAATAATAATAACAATAATAATAATAATAATAATAATAATAATAATAATAATAATAGAAATAGGCCTAATAATAATAATAACAGTGTACATTTGTATAGCGCCGTTGTCCATCAAACTTTATGTTCATGGATTGAAGTGTGGACTAGTATAACTCGATCAATGACTTTCTTCGCCCATATGGGTCCCTCTGTGTTGTGCTACCCGGTCCCGGTACCAGCAACTCTCGTCGTCCACCACATGGGCTATCTGTACAGGCCCGTATCCGGGGGGGGGTATGGTTCGGGAGAACCCCTCCTTTCTAGCAAACCCCCTCTTTTCTGGCGAAACCCCCTCTTTAAATTTCCCAAATAAGTCCTCCAACCCAACTAGTGCACTGCAGACCCACCCAGACACAGACATTTTCAAATATATCTGCTTTTATAGCATTATTGGATTGGATTGGATTTATTCGCTGTAAACACCAAGAATAGCCCACGAAAGTCTAGAAGAAGACTTATTTCCAGTGGGGTCCTTCTGGTGGTGATTGGACAGTACACCGGGAGACAATCTCCTACTCTTTTCCGAAGAGTGTACTGCGTTCTTTAACGTACACATGGGATAAATGCACACGGGACCAACGGCTTAAACGTCTCATCCGAAAGACGGTGCGCTATTGTAACTTGTATTTCAGCCCTCTAGCTGAAACACAGGGAGAGGCAGCGATGGGAATTGAACCGGTGACCTAGAGATCTCCACGGTTCAAGCTGCTCTCTTCAACCCCATAAAGCACAAAAATCCTCTTGCTTTGGGTGGTTTCGCCGACCCCACCGGGGCTTCGACTGTGGACCTCACGCCCAGAACCCCCCCACCCCTTGGAAGAACCTGGCTACGGGCCTGCTGTACCAGTACACCGGGGCCCCCCTACTCGTCTCGAATGGTGTGCTGGGTTCTTTATAGTGCACGCGACCCATCGTGTACACTGGACCATACGGTTTATAGTCTATCGGAAAAGACTACCACCAGAACCATAGACGAACAAGCGGCCAATGAACTCGTAAATATAGTCATATTAGTTTATCGTAGCATCATACAATAATAAAAGATTGTCTAATTTGAAAAATGCCTTTTGTATAGACCTAATTATATTACAACTCACCATTAAATACAATGTAAATGCATTTAACACATTTCCGCCATAGACGCAAGGTATTTAGTCAGTGGCGTAGGAGTATTGAAAAAGTGGGCTGATGGGGGAGGGAGAGAAGGTGAAGTGTAAGGGCTCTAAGCTGGAAAATTAAGGTGATATGAGGTAATTTGATCCCAGTTAATCAAATAAATTAATGGATTGTTTGTATTTTTGTTCCTTTTTATGCTCGAATAACTGTATAAATGTAATATAATGAAAAAAATAATGATTCAACTACTCGAGCATATTTGAAGGGCGATGGGGCGAGATTTTTTTAAGAGAGGGGTCCGTAGATGCGCCATCGAATTTAGTATACATTAGGACACAAATCAAAGTAGTTCCAAAGTTATTAGCTGGCTCTTTACTATCACGTACGTTCAGTTTTCTTCATTTGCATTTTTAAAATGCACAATATAATATGATTACGGTACAAATTCAATAAAAAGGCACAAGGAGAATACAGACAATAAAATACGAAAAATATAAATGTGTCAATTGAACTAATGATAAGATTGCACTAAGATATGTCCAGAGTATCCCTTGTGTTCTTTTATTTGCTCAGCAGTTTGAGAGTTATCTTATTTTTGTTAAAGATTTTATTCAAATGATTGTATTAAAACGCAATCGGATTTTATTTCAGCTATCTATTACAAAATTGTGGTATTTTGAAACGAGATGACGAATACGATCCAAAAACACCAATTTAGTTATGTGTTGAACTTTTTGAATTAATAAGCCTTGTTGATGAAACTAATACGTATATCTTGCATTAGTTTTATGTCGCACGAGATCGGTCAAGACGGAAAATTAACAACCAATTATTAACAAATGCGAAAACAATAAATACGTAGCCAGATAATATATAGAACGGGCAACCGCCAATAGCTCGTATATAGTCTTATTAAATGTAAATTAAAAATATAGGCTATTTTTCTTCATTTTAACGAAAAATATTGTTTTATGTCGCACGAGATCGGTCAAGACGAAATGAAAAATTAACAACTAATTATGGATGGCAATTGTCATTTTATTAACAAATGACGAAAACAAAATTGCATAGCCAGATATATAAAATAGGCAGCCAACAATAACTCGTACATAGTCTTAAAAATGTAATTTATACACTCTAGTCAGTACAGTACATCTATAATACGTGCTAGCATTAGTTTGATGTCAATTCAACCAGCAACGAGAGGAAGGAACATTGGGTTTGCCCAACTCTCCATGCTTTATAGATATTCTCAATTTCAACATCAAACAATGGTAACATTGGAAATCCATAAAAACTGCTACTGTAATTAGAAAAAGTACGGTACATTCCTAATTTCAGAGTTAACATACCTAAAATTTGCTAGAAACATAATAATCTGTCATGTTGAAATCATGAATGCCAGTAAATTCATAAATATTATTAGAAAGCGCGTGTCAATAATACTAAAACAGTTTTATTACGGTACAGCCCATGAAGTAACTCAATCAATGTTCGCTAATATATGCTTATTAACCATCGAATTCAATCGATATACGGAAGAATTCTTTATAATTTGTAAAATTCGTTCGAAGGTCATTCACAATTTAATTTTCAACTCTACATTTATAAGCACATGTAATAAATAATAATAATAATAATAGACAGACCATTACATTTTCCATATTATATAAAAGCCAAAGTGAACCTAATCAATGTATGTATATTTCTCTCAACCGAGATACAATCACCGTATTCCAGTACTTATTCATTGCTTCATAATTTGCATAGCACCGTAAACACAATATAAACTAGTAGATAAACAATAATAACAGTGCTCAAATAGGGACAAGATGTTATAATCGTATCAAGCACAGCCCTTCAACGAAAAGTTCTAATTCAGATTGCATGAAAAAGGGTCTTTGGCGGGATTCGAACCTGCGAGTTTCATACCCATTAGACCATTGAGACCTATAGGATATACGTGCCTATCTAACCCCAGGCACTTTCTCTCATACAACTGACTGAAACACTCGCACATGATGGAGCTATAGATAAGCTAAAACACATTATAGGCCCTTCAGCAAGTAAACCATAGTAAATAATATTCAAATTCGGTTTGCTGCATAGCACCGTAAACACGATGTAAACAAATGGATAAATAATAATAACAGTGCTCAAATAGGAAAAATATGTTATCCTATGTCTCTGTGGTCTAATGGGTATGATACTAGCCTTGACAGCGAGGAGTTGCAGGTTCAAATCCCGCCAAAGAAACATTTTTCCCACACAATTTAACAGCTTGTATCTTCCATGCGGTCTTTTACATAGCGTTCATACCGTATTTAACATCAAATATTTTAATTCTCACCTTCATCCTCTGTTTCTTCGTGTATTACTATAAAACCATTGGGTGTATTCACCAAGAATATTTGTTATTATTTGGTGTTATGATTATTATATGATGTTCTACTTCATAAACATTAAACAAAGGAACTTGTCGTTGATTAGCTAATGCTTGATACGATTATTACAATATGTTCGTATTTGATCACTGTTATCATTATATATCTATTTGCTCTTATATTGTTTACGGTGCTACGCAGCAACTTTATACATACATACATACACCCATACATACACATACACATATACATACATACATACATACATAGGCCTACTTACCGTATAAGTTGGAAAAGTATGCCCTGTATAAGTAAATGCTAACTAGTGAGCAAAAAAAAAAAACAAAAACAAAAACAAAAAAACAAAAAAAAAAAAAAAAACAAAAAAAAACAACATTTTTTTTGGCAAAAGGAATACTAAGCCTATTACACTCTCATTAACATAATTAAAAAGATTAAGACACAATGTTTTTTAGGAGGAATGTTAGCGTGTCTCCAAACTGTGAAAGTTCTTTCCGACTGTTTAAGTGGCCATGGAGGACTTGCAAATATTGGAATATTTTTCCATAGACACACAAGTTGCATCTTTTAAATACTGGGTTGTATGCTTTAGCTTGCTTGAGATCTTTTCCCTTTAAGTGTGTAGTCCATATTATTGTCTTTTAATTTCCATATATATTTACTTAGTTCGGTGTTAAATTTCTTGGTTGGATTTCTAAATGATGATGTGTGATTGTTACCTGAGCATAGCTGATCATTTAGAAACAACTTCGGAGATCTCCGTTCAATAGGTTTCAGTGCTGAAAACAATAAAAATCGTCCCTGGATATTTTGTTTTTAGATTGTTGAATGACTGATCTACATCAACAATAACTTATTATTGTATTATATTATCAAATTTCTTTCATGTTAAGCCAAAAGATGGTAGATTTAACTGAATTAGTGAAATTAGTGAATAATTTAATAATGATAATAGTAGTTTTATAGAGTGGTTCATGCCAACAAGGCCTCCAAACGCTTTAATGTGTTACTCTAGTCATTGGATCAGTCAGATGAAACACACACTCAGCTCTCATATCTGTTAGCTAAGATCAGTACATTTTGTATTTAAACCTGCTAGGTAGGCCTACTCCCTTACAGAAGGTGAAAAGAGTCAACCGTTTATACTGTACAGTGCATGGCCAGGGTTACGAATGAAATGCACATCGAGACCGAACCCAAAGGTGGAGATGCTGAACTGCAACCGCTTTGCCAAACCTTAGTTTTTGTAATATTTACAGTAAATTGCTTTAAAAATTTGACAATTAAAAATAAGATGAAGATGCCTATTCTAGCAAGCTCATATAATTTGCAAACAAATTACTAATATCTGCGACATATTAAAACCTGAAATGTAAAAATACAATATAGGGTTTGCCTATGCAACAAAAACAAACCTGGGCAATGTTTGTTCTGTTAGAAATTTGTTTTCTTAAATATGATCATTAATAATAAACCAATCAAATATAACTGCAGTAATTACAAAATCGGATGAGAAGAGCACGTACAATTACATGGATCAATCAATACATACGGTTAATATTTCAACCGTTGTGTCGTGTTTCGTATTAATACACAGTGTTCGTAAAAATCAAAACGTACCGTACAGCCACACATGTCAAACTCAACCAGCCAAAAATTAGTGTTAAACGGTAACAGTATCAATAATACACCTTTGTAGAATGCCCCTAAAGTCAGCATTGCTGTTAGGTTCATCCTTGTTAAATAGTGTTGCTCCCGCGACCCTATATATAATAAATATAATCACCCTATATAATAAATATAATCACCTCCAGATCTTTTATCATGGAGAATTGTGACGATTTTCTGATCAAAATTGTTGACTAGGCTGTTGTATAAAAAAATTAGTTTTTCGTCGATTGTGTCCTTGAACTTTGACCATAACCCTTTCCAAATTTCATCACCTCGAGATAATTATGACTACGTTTAAGGAATTTCAGATAAAAACTGTGGCCTGTATGCTGTTCACTGACAAACAAACAGACAAACAAACAAACAACAAACAGACAAGGCATAAGCATAATCTCCTTGGTGGAGGTCACTATTGAAAAGAAAAGATTAGTGAAGCTGTTTCAATGATAATTAAAGTTTTTAAAAAATACAAAAAAGGAGAAAAACAAGCACACGTACAGAGTCAAAACACTACACAAAATAGGTCCCACTGGGAGCTTGAGTCTGTGAGCTATACTGCCTTACTGTATTATGTTAATACTAATAAAGTATCCATAAGATGACACATGACCCTTCATGTACCTTCACAGGATTTACCCTTTCAGCCATCTTTAACTGTCAGACATGGGGGCATAGACACAAAAAGCATTTCAGAACTTGAATAAAATTCAAGGTTTCTAGAATCCCACGGACCGAGCATAACAACACTGACCCTTCGACAATTTGGATTGGTTGCCCATTAAACAACGTATTGTTTGTAAGCTTTTACTGATTACATGTAAGGTTCTCAACAACATTGTACATCGCTGAATTGATCAAATCATGGAGGAAATCAGGGGCGGATTTAGGGAGGTAAAAAAAAAAAGAAAAGAAGAGAGAAAAAGAAGAAAATGATAGCCCAGAATGCCTCAAATGTTATGTTCGGGCGTCTAGAACACAAAAATTTCGCGGGGGCATGCCCCCAGACCCCCTGGGGCAGTGTTGCCTCGATCGGCCCAACTTTCGCCCCCACCTTTTTGGACATTTCTGGATCCGCCCCTGGAAATATATTCAGGACTCTCAGATCAACTACAAATGCATCCAACACAAACTTGTAGTAGCCCTGTCTCTTATACACATCTAGATGTGTATAAGAGACAGTCTTATACCTTTGCATTTACAATAATACATGCTTTTAAGTACATGGGCCTAATTAGAGTAGAATGCCTACAACCTCTAAAAAACACCCCTCTCATTTCTCTTAAACAATAAGGTTTGTACGAGAAAAAAAGTAAAACATGTACATGTACACCTAGCTTTTGTCTACACCATTATAAGAAAAATGTATTTCGTGTATCATTGTGTAACCGTCGGCGAGAAATCAGTGGTCTATAATATTTGTATTCATTTTACTTTAGACATTACTCATAATTTAAAACTCATTATCTTCAAGTTGTGACGTCGTCGTCAAGGCAACAGTTTTGTAAAATCCTTCGCATATTAGGCAAATTGAGTATTCGAGTGCGCGACGCCGGACACAACAGAGCTCAGTAATATATAGGCCTACCTGTATTCGCATCACATGATTTACATAGCAGTGCAGGGATCATATCGTAACGATTGCTAGCTAAAAAGTTACTTCTTTGTGGTAAAAGTAGGCTATCCAGTTTATTAGTCTTATCAACAAGCAAAATCAAAGAAACCGTAAGTTAACTATAATTATTTATTGTACTGTTTTGAGCATTTCATTGTTTTATTCATGCATAATTAATGGGCTTTGAGGAAAATGCAATGCGGTCCACTGACAAGTCGAAGAGCAGATACCCATTTTGATATAGGCCTAGCGTTGACTTTTTATACCTTGTTTAGCGAACCCGCCAACTGCAAATATTGATGATTTCAAATAAAAATAAAATTTTATTTTTGGCCAATCAGCGCACTTGCGCCACGAAAAAGTTGGGTTTCAGAAAAAAATAAGAGTTTTTCTTTATTTTATTACGCCCTCCACTGCCTTTAAATCTCCAAAGATAAGATATTTCTTCCTAATTATATAAATTTGAAGCATTTAACCATCATATTTTACATTCAATAATTAAATTTTATTTTTATTTTCCCCTCCGTCTTAATGTTTTTGGCAAAACTATTTTCTAATTAAGAAAACAAAATGTTATTTTTATTTTTATTCCGCCCTCATTCGATGATCTTTTAAAAAAATAAGTATGCGAAACAAGGAATAAAAAGTCTCACCCAAGCGTTTGGTAAAAGTTAATGTTACTGCTTTTTGCACTTAGTGTAAAACCCGATTCAAATTATGGCGTTTCAACTTCGCTCAGCATCTCGAATAAAAAAACCCTCGCGTAATGGTCAGGGGGAGGATATTTTATCTGTTACATATCGATACTGGTGTGCATTTTCTTCAGCTGTTCCACAGGGCCTAGACAAAATATTAAATTTGAGTTTCAAATAGTGGAAATTCAAACATTTAAAAAATTCATTTAATCGTACAGGTAGCATCAATCTGAGCAGGCAACGCCGAAAATCTTATTTAAATGTGATTTATGGCTATGGTTATCAGGATGAAGGGAACTTGTTTTTTATTATTGCTCGCAGTACATTTAATTCACTCCACTATTGGTAAGTTTTGATCAACATATACTATATATTTATTCTATTCGTTTCTTTTAGGTTTGGATAATGGAAAGTAATATTTAAGAATTGAACGGTTTAAAATTAAAATCATTAAAAAAAAGCCTTCTATTTTCTTCATACGAAAGCTTATAAAAAAAAAAGCACGAACTGTGAATTTCGATTTTTACTTATATTTTGTTATTGAGGAGAAACTATTTCCCAATAGAATAAGTTTATTTCGAGTTCTTTTGTTTTTTTTTCGTGTGTTTTTTTAAACTCCCGTATAATAATCCCAGGCTGTTTTGAATTCGTCATGTGTGCTATGTTTGCGTTTAACATGTCTTAACAGTATATATGAATAATAAAACTAATTTCTTGATATTTTCCTAGGCCTTATTTGTTACACATGTAATGATGCTGGAAATAATGAAGCATGTAACGCTGCAGGAACACAAACTTGTAGTAGCCCCAGCGACGTAAGGTCAATTCTATTGTGGTGAATGTCCATTGATATCAGTTAAGCTTGAAATTATACACTATACAGTATTATACTATTATATATACAAATACAACATAGTTTGAGGTGAATTTGTGAAATCTATACTCCCCGATGTGTTGGATGATTTCGACTACCTCCCGACGCGAAGTGGAGGGAGGTATCCATATTAATCAGGCAACAATGAAAGTATAATTCGCTGCTTTACCAAAATAAAACCATGTTGTATTTGTTTTACTATACCTAATAAATGTTAAATAACAAATCGTCCGTATACACCAGCCATTTTGATTAGTAATTACGCAGTTTGCATAAGGATTACGCACGCAAGGGGGATGCATGAATTTGATACGCGCAGTGAAATTTTATTATTACCTATAAGCTATAAGCAAATAGTAGAGCTCCGCATAGTACACTATAGGAAAATTATTATACAAAGGTTAGATTTAATGCTTGAAAAAATTTCCTGAGGGCCTGCAAGGCCCGAAGGAAACTTTTGAATGCATTAAATCTAACCTAAGTATAATAATTTACCATTTAGTGTACGATGCATGCTCTACTAATTGCTTTATAAGTCAATCGCCGTCTTTTAATGTTACTTTTTTAAACCAACTGTTGTGCAGTCATTGGTTGCTGTAGTGATATGATTAGTATACGTGTGCGTATTTACATTTAGCTGTGCGGTGCTGATTTTTCGATTCTGCAGTATAAATATAAAAATTAGTGGTGGGCAAATAACATTGGGAGTTACAGTGACAATTGGGTATAGTAAAATGTAATATTTTTTCCATGTTTTTTCATTTCTTATCTTTATATATTTATATTATAGCCTCATTGACCTAAAGACACTTCACTGGTTAAAGTATAATGTTGTTTCATTTATTTAGAGCCCCTAAATATCAGCCGACCTTTTAAAATATTGTACGCTGGAGGGGTCACCATTTATAAATAGGCTATGATAAAAAAAAATACAATATACTATAATCCTCTTATGAGGTTTTATCTTCTTTTATATAAATCATGTTTAAGTAATTCAGCCTATGCATATATTGTATATTGTCCACATTAACTTATTATATTTTAATGTTTAATGTTTTATGTGTTTCATATAGCTTAAATAATTTTAAAGAGTCAAATATTTTCTTTGGAATAATACAAGCTCTCAGTAGCCAAACCTTAAATCTGGTTTATAAAATTATGTTGACCATTTTCAGTGTCATCTGATGTGCATTTAAAACAATTAATGTGTAATTGCAATGCATATAATTTTTAATACTTCTGAAAATGTTTAGTATGTTGTATATTGAACTTTTTGAAAAGTGTATATATTTCTATACTTAATGACAATCAAGGTATGCAGTAATGTTATCCGAGATGAAAATGGTTTACATAGAGTGACAAAATTGTGTGAACAGGGCAATTCATGCGAGACCCAGCAAAACCAAAATGATGGCCAATGTCATCCGTCTGTAAGTCCGTCAGTATGTAGATACTGTTGCTCTACCGATATGTGTAATCTTAATGAAGACCCATCTGTGGTGACATCCGTTGAAATAGAGACTACAGGTAAGACATACCGGTACAAAGTACGAAGAATACAACAAATAGATGTCAATTCAGAGATATGTACATCTCTATAAAATGAACAGCATATTAACATTATTGTTAAAATGCTTAAATGTCAGCATACAAAAAAATTGCATGAACTAAAACATAGGCCTCTCAAGTTTACAATAAATAGGTGTAAACATTCGAAGTTTTGTACATCTCTATAAAATGGACAGTACATTAACAAA